AACTCTTTCCAGCTCTCGTTTCTCAATACCATCTGAAAAGCAGCCTCACTCTCTTCCGGTCAAACTGGATGCTCTGTAATTCCCCAAAGACGCTCTGTTGAAAACTTGAGACCCTGCGTTAGATAGAAATAGGAGCCAGATTGGCCAGGCGCAGTGGCTCATGCCTGTAATCCCAGCACTTTGGGAGGCTGAGGCGGATGGATCACGAGGTCAAGAGATTGAGACCATCCTGGCCAACATGGTGAAACTCTGTCTCTCCTAAAAATATAAAAATTAGCTGGGTGTGGTGTAATCCTGCTACGTGGGAGGATGAGGTAGGAGAATCACTTCAACCCGGGAGGCGGAGGTTGCAGTGAGCTGAGATCGTGCCACTGCACTCTAGTCTGGGCAACAAGAGGGAAACTCCATCTCAAAAAAAAAAAGAAAGAAAGAAATATAAGCCAGGTCATTTGCCGCAGACCACCTAGCTAGTGAGCAATAGGATCTGGATTTCAATCCAGGTTTGGGCTGTGTTCAAAGCTCTTCAACACTATCCTATTCTCTCTCTGGAATGCTCCCTTCTATATCTATCTGTAGAAACTGTACCATCCCTTCAAGGACATTTTGTTAGGGAGGCAGGAACCGAGGACAGCAAAGGTGACAGAGTTTTAAGTTCAGCTCTGTCTTGAGACTAACAAGGCACATTCCTTGCCAACCATGACCCATGGTCATAAGATGTTTATGGTTGAGAAAACAGCCTAAGGCTACTACAACAACAGAAAGTCCAGATGTCCCAATACCATAACAACAAATGTTTTCAAAAAATTATAGTTATGCTTTGATGTTCTCACACACTAAAATGTCAAGGATAGTTTTCTTTAAATCAATAGAATAATAAGTTTTGTCACACTGTCTGCTCATCCGCACATAGGCACAGCTTAGTTTAATCTTTATATAGACAAGACCCCAATATAAGAAAAACTTAAAGTCGATGCGTTCCTCCTTTTGCTTTCTGAGGGCGCCCTACTCTGTAACAGAGTAGTTTCTAACAAGCTTGCTTGTTTCACTGCATTTTGTGACTCACCTTGACTTCTTTCCCACATAAGATCCAAGAACCTTCTCTTAGGGGTCTGGATTGAAACGCCCTTTTCTCCTAAAGTTTTCCTTTTTTTTTCTTGTCGAAGTGACTTTCTGTCTTCTGAGCTCCTATAACACTTTATTTACACATTTCACAAAATATATTGATAACAGAGTCATGTGATAAGTTTCCTGTGGTCTAAGACATTGTCTTGAGGTTTTTCAGTCCTTTACAGCATGGTACACAGCACCCTACATGCTGTGGGCTCTCACAGAGGTCTGCTGAAGAATGAGTTACTGTGGGAAGCCTTTCTGTACCTGCCCAACCCTCTCACAACGCGAGATCCTAATTAATTTCAGGCACAAAGATAACACTTCCCAACCCCAAGTATCCTGCCATTTTCCTATTCTAGCATATCAATTCTTTTTTTATTCCATCCACGAGCCCTCTGCCACCTGTCTATACAACATTTTGCAATTGGGAAGGACTCTGGTACTGGATAACTATGTAACATATAAAAAGATGCAAATCATGACAAATAGGAGTCACAAAATGAACAAGGGTGGTTACATTCTTTGAAATCCAAAATGGAAATTAGACATAGGTCCAGGTCAAGTTGCCCTTTCAGGCCTTCTCACCCTTTGTCTCCATTTTTTGTGGAAAGGAACAAGGGGAGGGGCAGCAAGCAGTGTGAGCAAAAGCGGAAGAAGAAAGGGGAATAACTGGCCAGACAGCCACTCTTTCCCGAAAGACAAACAGCATTCTAGGAAAGGAAAATATTCCCTAGGTCACAAGCAATTGTGCAAGGAGCCTACAGCAGAACAAGGAAATCCAAAACAGTAGCCCCTGTTTGATCTTCTCATCTCCATCTGTAAGATAGGGGATGATAACCCTGCCTGCTTCTCACCACACAGTCCAGGGGCACTCCCTAAGCTGTCTTCAGCATGATTTGGAAAAGGCTGCAAACGCAAGATGAAAATCCTCCATTTAACTTAGCATTTGACTGTATCCCTGGGGATTAAGTAAAATTAGACATTGAGCTTAAAACAAATATAAGGAGAATGGGGACAGGGGAAACTCCTCCTATTGTCTACCTCCCTGTTCACCCTCTTCCCTGCCGCTCCCACGGAAGAAGAAGTTGCTAAACTGACGGTATGTTGTCCTGAAATGCCACTGGGCCAAAGACAGAGTTCAAGTTCAACTTCTTAAAACCCAAGTTGATAACAGCTGGGGTTCCCCTCTCTGTCAGGGTCCCCCTTCTCACTATAGGAATGGAAAAACTTCACCTCTATTGTTTTAGGGTCCTGGCTGGGTCCAAGAGTTAAATCAACAAAACATAGATTAACATGAGAAAAGCATAGAAATTTATTCATAAGTGTTTTACATGGCACAGCAGCCCTCATAAAGAAATGAAGACCAAAGAATCAGTCAGAGTCAGTTACTTATATATTGGATTGAATAAAGAATAGTAAACTGTGAAAATGTGACAAATTATGTGGGGAAGCTTAAAAAATAAGAGTTTCTAACAAGGCCTGTGCAATATTCTCTAAGTTACCTTTCCTTCTAGTCCCTAGAGAGTGTCTTTCACATAGGAATTCCATCTTCTTCTCTTAAGAAACAGCACAAAAGTCGAAGTGATCTTCTTGTACCTGCTGTTTTTCAAGTGCTTTTAACTTAAATAGTCAATAGGCCAGAATGGCATTTTTTAAATTTTACTTTAAGTTCTGGGATACGTGTACAGAACGTGCAGGTTTGTTACATAGGTATACATGTGCCGTGGTGGTTTGGAGCACCTATCAACCCATCATCTAGGTTTTAAGCCCTGCATGCATTAGGTATTTGTCTTAATATTCTCCCTCCCCTCACCCCCGACCTGCCAACAGGCCCCGGTGCCTGATGTTCCCCTCCTTGTGTCCATGTGTTCTCATTGTTCAACTCCTACTTCTGAGTGAGTACATACGGTGTTTGGTTTTCTGTTCCTGTGTTTGTTTGCTGAGGATGATGGCTTCCAGCTTCATCCATGTCCCTGCAAAGGACACGAACTCATTCTTTTTTATGGCACATAGTACAGAATAGCATATTTTAACCCCTTCATCACCCCACAACAAATACCATTTGGAATGAATCATTATCAAAACTGAAAACTCTACCAACATTAGTTCTGAGAACCAACCATACACTGGGCACTGGACTAGGGCTGCAGATTTTGAAAAAGAAAGAGAAGAAAAGCAAAGCATTTGCCCCTACTCTTAAGAAGTTCACAGTCTACTGGAAGAGGCAGAAATAATTTCCATAGACAAGTAATTTCCATAGGCAAAGGTAAACCCTGGGGTTCTGTGGAAATTTAAAAGATTCTGTGAAAACAGAACTGGGGTGAGGGAAGGTTTCATCAAAGGGATGAGGTCAGAGTTGAGGGCTAATGAATGAGTAAGAATCAGGCCTAAAAGAGAGGCAGAGGTGTCCCGCAGAGAAACACCGGAGCAAAGCCGTGAGACAGGTGTGGTGTGTTTCCCTCACAGCAACAAAGGATTTCCCACATCCTTATATCTGCATTAATAAATGGCATATGACCGTGGCAGGGAGGAGGAAAGGGGGAAATCAGTGAAATATATTTAAGTACTAACTTTGAAGAAATGCATTCAAAATAAATCCACAACTTTCTCTGAAGAAATAAGATGGGTAAAAGAAAAAACTAAAGAAAAAGGTGTAAAAGAAAAAACATGTTTTTCAAGCGGGTTTGGTTAAAGCAATCAACTTCCTAATCTCCACAAGTGGTATCAGACTCCAGGCGGCCTCTCAGTCACAAAGCTGCTGTTTACCTCTAAATCATAAAAGGCAGATGGCAAGCAAGCAAAATACCACACACCTGGTCACTGTGTACATTCTAAACCACACCATAGTCAAGGGAGGGGTGGGGGCTCATCAGCAATGCAAACCCATGGAGGGAAGGCCTTTCCCAACCAAGTCTTCTCGGCTAAAGGTGGACACAGCACTGCCTAAGGACAGCATTTGGACCCCGCTCTGCCCCTGTCTGTGAAATGGTGGTAACCAATGTGGACTCTGCCCACACTCCATCCCCTTGAAGACCTGGGCGCATACTGATTTAAGCGGCATAAAGAGTTGAGGCCCAGGCTGGAGAGGGTGGAAGGAGAAGATGCCAGAAAGCATTTCTATCGTGGGCTTGGCTACAAGCACAGTTTTTTTTCCCTGGCCTTGTAGTTTCCTTGCTCTGTGCCTTAGTTTCTCCATCTGACAATGACAATCACAACAATCTGCCCCTAATTTTCTTATTTAGGAGCGATAAATAACTCCTGACACAGTTTGAGGTCCTTAAACAAGGGTCCTGTGTCCTAGACAACATGACCCAGGAAGCCAGAATAGCCTCGGCTGGGCACGGTGGCTCAAGCCTGTAATCCCAGCACTTTGGGAGGCCGAGGCAGGGGGATCATTTGAGGTCAGGGGTTCGAGACCAGCCTGGCCAACATGGTGACACCCCTCTCTGCTAAAAAAAAAAAAAAAAGATTAGCTGGAAATTGCTCGAACCCAGGAGGCGGAGGTTGTAGTGAGCCAAGATCGTGCCACTGCACTCCAGCCTGGGCAACAAAGCAAGACTCCATCTCAAAAATAAAAAATAAAAATAAAGTAATAGCCTAAGGAACAAAGGCAACACAGCTGCTCAATCAGTTTTCCATCCACTCGACACTGTTTACTCTGTCCCTCCGGTGTGCAAACAGAGTCAAAACTGAGAATTGTTTGTCATTGTTTTCCAGTCCCTGTCCACATTCCTTGTTCGTGACTGATGGGTGACAGAAGCCAGCTGGGTTATTATGCATACCAGGGTAAACTGTGCTCATGGAAGTCTATGTCTCAACCCAGCCCTGCCACATGGGAAGGGTGGAATAAAGCCAGTGCCTAAGGCGGCAGGAGACTGTACTCAGCTCACCTGGGGATGCTAGTCAGGTAGGTCATGACATTCAGGAAGTCTTCATCTGGGATGTGTTTGAACCCCGAAAACTCTGGGAACGTGATGATGGGGGCGCCGTCCTCCCCTCGGCCTCCTGTAACAAAAACAGGTGGTCAAGATGTTAGCAAAATGCTGTCATGTCGCGCCTCTGCAGGAAAGTTGGGTGAAAGAATATCAGTCACCTCTTTTCCTATCTATATTATCTCAGACTAGAATTTGGGAGAAGTTAACACAGTTATTTTGAGCAAGTCTCTCTTCTCATTCATGCTGGCTCCATGGCATTGTAAGAACTCAATTTTTGAATCGTTTGAAGAGAGTTACTGTGTAAAAGGTAATACTGATTTAATTATTCAGCATAGGTAGAATAGTAAATAATGCCAACACAAATATGTAATATTGCTCTTCATTTTTGTAGTCGGTAAATGTCAAAAGTAATATTGCATGCTGGTTAAGAGAGTTAACGCTAAAATCAGACAGCCTGGTTCAAATCTGCTTTGCAACATTGTTGCTATATGATTTTGGCCAAGATACTTAATGTGTTTCTTTCATATTTATATATATATATCTAGGTATATACATAGATATAGATGTCCCATCATTTTATTATATAGGAATAATGTTTGTACCTATGTGGTAAGGTATTGTGAGAATTAAGTGACAGCACAAAGGAGAAGCACCTTAGCAGGGTGCTTATTATATAAAACTGCTCAAAAAATGGTGACCATTATTATAATTATTATTATTACAAGGAAGCAATAATCAGCTTCCCTTCAAGAATTTATAAATAGCAATTTAAGATATCCCTGTGAAAGTAAAAATATGAAAATTAACATTTAATTCAGAGCAGAGACCACCAAATTCAATAGATTCTATTTCCCAGTCCCCTTGCAGTTACATGGAGCCATTTGACTAAGTTCTAGCCCCGCAATCCCCAAACTGTGTCATAGGTACCCAGGGAACCACAGTAAACTCATAGGAGCGCTGTGACTATTTTAAATTTTTGAGGGAAACCCAGTGATAGTTGACATCTGTTGGACACCATATGTACTACTACTAGCTAGAGGTAACTCCCAATTTCTTTTTTCTTTTTTTGAGACAGAGTCTCGCGCTGTCACCCAGGCTTGAGTGCAGTGATGCAATCTCGGCTCACTGCAACCTCTGACTCACAGGTTCAAGCGATTCTCCTGCCTCAGCCTCCTGAGTAGCTGGGATTACAGGCATGCACCACCACACCCAGCTAATTTTTGTATTTTTAGTAGGGGCAGGGTTTCACCATGTTGGCCAGGCTGGTGTTGAACTCCCGACTTTAGGTGATCCACCCGCCTCGGCCTCCCAAAGTGCTGGAATTACAGGCATGAGCCACCACGCCCGGCCCCAGTAATTCCCAATTTCAACATCAAATTGCATTATATTCTTGTAGATGGTGTTGCATCTTTAAAAAGCTGGGGGTTTGGTACTTGCTGGAATAAAAAGCAAAAACAGTATGAAAATCAATGTGGAACAAGACATAAAGGTGGTGGTATCTGGTTTGATTGCAAGGTTTAAGATAGTTGTAGTTATTTAAGAATAAAATTGAGAGAAAAAATAATATTTTAATTTATATGTATTATTTTTTCAAACAGCTACTAAGTTGTTAGGACATAGATACATATTAAGTTGTTTGAAATGCTAGTTATTGCTTTTGGCCTTGGGGGGCCATGAAAGAAAGACTGAGATACTAAGGCGCAGAGAATTGAGAGGGTTTGGGAACCTCTGCCCTAGCCAGTGGCATAGGAGCTTAAGTTGCATGCACCTTCCAAGTGATGTCCTTGAAGAGAAACCACTTGAAGAGGAATCATGGCTCTCAAGGCAAGGCCAACTACAAATGACTGAATGTATTTAACATATCTGAGAAAGACATATCAGTGTGGGGTGTGATTAGTGGGGACTGTGTGGTTAATGAGGATGTGTGGTCAACAAAGAAACTACAGAAGAGGAGGACTCAAAGGAGCAAAGGCGGGCGGTGTACAGCTAAGGAGAGAGGGCCAGCCCACCCTGAGAGTCCAATCCATGTTACCAGTCTATCTGATGACACCACTGTAAGATCGTTCGGCCAACTCTCTGGTGCTGACACCAAGCCTGATAAGAATCTTCTGTTTATAATCTCATTTTCCACATAAATTTGTTTCAAGAAAAGGAATGCGTCATTGAGCAAACATAAGTATATTACGTAAAGAGTAAGTTAGTGCTGTGGTTTTTCTGCACAAGTCTCTTGTGGGTGTTGTTAATATGGGTCTTAGGTGCTCAGAAACCAATTGCTGTGGAATGAAACCATGTGAGATTTGTCTGGATGGTCAGTCATCCGTCCCCAAGAGGTACCTCTTTATTAATCCTATATGTTTACTCTAAATTTCCAAAAATGAAATCTATAGATTAGATGTTTACCAAGACAAGTATGTTAAACTACCTCATTACAGTGACTGATAAGGATATTAACAGCTTTCATCTAATAATATTCTTCCTCTTTGCAGTTTCACAACTATGGGAAGTTTCAGAGAAACGTGCATTCAGAGAATTTGTGTCTTTAAAAAGCTAAATTTAGATGCATTATAACACTGTAGTAATTGCATAATCAACATTTGCTGAGGGAATGGCTAAAACATTTCAAGGAACTGAAACACGCTAAAATATTCACTAGAATGTGATTATGCCATTTAATTTTACCTTTTATTTATTATTATTATTATTAGATGGAATCTTGCTCTGTCGCCCAGGCTAGACTGCAGTGGTGCGATCTCCGCTCACTGCAACCTCCACCTCCCAGGTTCAAGCGATTCTCGTGCCTTAGCCTACCGAGTAGCTAGGATTACAGGCACACGCCACCACGCCCGGCTAATTTTTGTATTTTTAGTAGAGACGGGGTTTCACCATGTTGGCCAGGCTGGTCTCGAACTCCTGACCTCAAATGATCCATCTGCCTCGGCCTCCCAAAGTGCTGGGATTATAGGCATGAGCCACTGCACCTGGTCAATTTTACCTTTTTATAGTTGACTGTATTAAAGTTAGCCCCACCTAAATGAAAAAAGGCGACATTTTCTTCTATCTTAGTTACTACCAATACTGAACAGCAGAGAGGCCCTAAGGTTAACTGTGGACACCCACCTATTGTTGAATATTAGTCTTAAGAGGCAGAAGCATCAAGGAAACAGCTAGATTTACCACCACGGGGCAACCCACAACATGGCATCTAGTGCCACCTTCTGAGGAAACGCGGTAATGCAATAGGAAGAAAGTGATCATTCCGAAGTCCCATTCAAGGAATACAAAAAACCCCGAATTGGCCGGGCGCGGTGGCTCAAGCCTGTAATCCCAGCACTTTGGGAGGCCGAGACGGGCGGATCACGAGGTCAGGAAATCGAGACCATCCTGGCTAACACGGTGAAACCCCGTCTCTACTAAAAAGTACAAAAAACTAGCCGGGCGAGGTGGCGAGCGCCTGTAGTCCCAGCTACTCGGGAGGCTGAGCCAGGAGAATGGCGTAAACCCGGGAGGCGGAGCTTGCAGTGAGCAGAGATCCGGCCACCGCACCCCAGCCTGGGTGACAGAGCGAGACTCCGTCTCAAAAAAAAAAAAAAAAAAACCCCGAATTATTTGGTACTAAGTAAAATGATAACCTAAACTACTCCTCCTACTATGATTTTGTACCTTTTCATTAAGTGAAAAACATCTAGTTTTATTGCAGAAAACATTAAGCGCTTGGGGAACATAAGGGGATTGCTGAAAGGGCCCTGGGGATAGTTGGCAAGAAGGCTTCATACAGAGGTGAATTGAGAATACGGGAAATCCTATAGGAAGATGGCAAAGATCAATGATGGGGAAGGGTGCAAAGCATCTTCCTACTGCTCTTTGCCTTCCAATATCTATTTTCCCTTTCTCCTCCACACAAGGTTTTCACTGGGGAAATGGCAGAACCATTCCCTGGGAGGCACTTTGGAAATCTCAGGGCCTGGAATACTAAATGACCCATTCTCCGTAATAAAACAAAGAATTGCCCCACATGCTACATGACTTCCAAATGTCTTACTAGAGGCTTAATTTAAGTGAAAAATCCATTTAAAATGCTCTGAACCTAGCCTCTAACTCTGTTTTTACAAATACTCATAAAGAATTTTTATTTTATTTATTTATTTTATTTTATTTTATTTTATTTATTTATTTATTTATTTATTTTTGAGACGGAGTTTCACTCTTGTTGCCCAGGCTGGAGTGCAATGGCATGATCTCGGCTCACCACAACTTCCGCCTCTCGGATTCAAGCGATTCTCCTGCCTCAGCCTCCCGAGTAGCTGGGATTACAAGCATGTGTCACCACGCCCAGCTAATTTTGTATTTTTAGTAGAGATAGAGTTTCTCCATGTTGGTCAGGCTGGTCTCTAACTCCCGACCTCAGGTGATCCCCCCACCTCAGCCTCCCAAAGTGCTGGGATTGATTACAGGCGTGAGCCACCACACCCGGCCAAGAATTTTTTTTCTTTTAATCTTAATAAAGTCACTGCAGGTATCCGATCACCCCATCACACCCCAGCATTTGCACCCATCACATTTATGGTGACTCCAAATTGAGGAGCAAGCATCTCTTTTATTATTCTCATGTAGCTAGACATGTATGTGGAAATACGTGTTATTGAAAGATATGTTACTTTACTATAATTAGTTTCCTTTGATTTCTCCTTTACATTGCAGTTCCTTATATTTTATTTTTTAATTTTTAAAAATATGAGCATAGGTAGGGGCGGCTATTCACCTAAGTTTACCCTTCCTGGGCACACAGCTACACTACATTTCCCAGATCCCATGCTGTTATGTTTGTTCAAATGACTGTGACAAGTTCAAGTCAATGGAATGTGCTGTATGCTATCTCGGAGCTGAGAATTTTAAGAAGCACTATGCTCCTTCCATGTTCTGTTAGCCTGTCTGCTCCCCGGACACACATAAGAAGAAGGCTGCAATATGCATAACAACAGTAAGCACCAAAAACTCAAAGGAGCCTTCATTCCTGAACCTCCACATGGAGAAAAGTTGTCTGCTGACCAGGAACATACATGCAGAAGTGGT